CCACTTTAAGAGGGGTGGACTTCAACTCCCAGAATTCCCCAGCCAGCCATGGGTTATCAGGTTGAGAAACATTGAGCCAGACACACCTTTGCAGCAACGTCCAACTTCTGACTTTCTTTTAATTCAAAGGATACTGACATGGCACGCATTGCCTTGCTGGCACAGCACAGCCCCTCTCAGCCACCTGCGGCCACCTCACCCAGCTTAACGGCAACACAGCCCTTGTGTTTTCTGAAGCCAGGCTTCGCGTGCCTGTGAGCTCAGCCAGTGTGGTTGGAATCACGGCTTATGTCTCAGCACTGCCTATGAACCCAGCCATGGTGCCATACAAAGCAACTATGGTTAAAAGAAATCATGGTTTAGCCTAAGGTATGAGCGTAAGGCATAAGATGGTTTGTTTTAATTTAGTGTGTCGTGCAGATCCACCTACTGTGTTGATGAACAGCAGAAAGCATAATGTGTAAAGAGGTCATTATGTTTATTGAGTAAAATGTGTGTGTCTCAGCATATAGACCCCAAGTTCCCATAAATCCAAAAGTCTCAAGTGATATTCAGCAACAAACACAGGTCATGCATTTACTTCTCATTTTTGCAAGTGGTCCCAGACCTGCTACCATCCTTCCAGGGCACCAGGGACTGACCAGCCTAGGCCCCATCAGGTGTTTCTACCTCCCAGCATCCAGAGCTGTTTAGAAATCCCAAACTTTATTTGCACCATCTTCCTAAGAGGCCACTGGAATCTCCAAATGATGCCCAGTGAAACCCTTTGGGACTTCTGGTTCTGGGCCAAAGGGGTGAAATACAGCACAAATCCAGAACCAGGAGGTATCTCATCTAAGAAGAAAAGTAGTGGGGGAAATCTAGTATGTCATCTCTCTGGCTTCATTTGAGGAGCAGGCTGAGAATCTTGGGCCCCCAGCGCTTGGAGAAATTAGTGCCCAAGACCACGTTAAGAATTTTCTCCATATTTTTGAACAATCTAGTCCAGTGTTTTTTCAAACTTGGCAACTTTAAGATGTGGGGACTTCAACTCTGGGGAATTCTGGGAGTTGAAGCCCCCACATCTTAAAGTTACCAAGTTTGAAAAACCCTGATGTAGCCTATGTCTTTGGAACTTGCAAAGAAGTGCAAATTCTCACCCATAGGCATCTGCTCCCTTCCTGGGGACAGGAGAGGACATGTCTCCTGGTTGACCATGTGCACCTGGAACAGCTGCTCTTCATGCTTACAAAGGCATAAGTGACAGAAAGTGACTCTTTTCCACTTGCCCAAGGACAGAAAGAGCCAGGGAGTTCGAGGAGGAGGAGGAGGAGGAGGAGGCCAACTTTCCTTCCTCCATCATGATCCAACTGGGAACTCTTCTGATTTCCAGAGTTGTGGGTGCTCCATTGTTGGAGGTTTTCAAGAAAAGATTGGACAACCAAGATGATATGAAGACTCCTGTCTTGGGCAGGTGGTTGGACTAGAAGACCTCCAAGGTCCCTTCCAACCCTTTGATTCTATGATTCTCCAAGGAAGGAAGAAGGACAGATACTGATTTCCTGGGATCTTCCAGGAACCTGGAGCATGGTGATCTACTGCCCAGAAGAACGGAAAGGTAAGTTGGGATGGTAGGGAACAATCATGGTGGCTGTTTTGTGAATGAGCAAATCCCCGTCAGCCATTTTATGAAAGCGCCCACAACAGGGTCTCAAAATTGCAAACAGGTCATGTGCCCCAAGAAGGAAACACAAAGTGTCACACAGGTGCTCATGTGTGTTTAAGTTATCAGTAAAGCAGCCTTGTTCTCTGCCTCTCACACACATATAAGGACACAAACACAGTCGTTCTTTTGTCCAGTATTTGTATATATTATTTTAATATCTATCTAGTTCTATTGGTCCGGGTAGGACTTGGCACACGAGAGCTGCAAGAGGTTGGCATTTGCCTCCCAACAAATTGTGCGTTTGGCCACAAGGGGCAACATTGTGCTTCAACCACAACCGGAAGAGAAAAACAAGTGCAAAAGAAATCAAATTCAGTTCAAGAGTGACGCTGTTAAGGAAGCATCTGTGTAGGTCCTAGAGGATTGTCTATCCGACAGACAATAGTGAGTCAAGACAGCAGGACTGGAAGAAACCTAATGGGGAGGTTTAGAGCAGAAAATATGTCCTTGGCACCCATGACATTTCTGCAATCCTACATGCGACACTGTTCATCCATAGATTGGCAGCTGGTACGACCGATAGATTGGAAATGGGAGGTTCCTAGTTAAAAAAATACACACCAAATTCCTTTGCCAGGAGCTATGACAGCTTGTGGTTAGATCCTGACGCCACGGAATGCTCACAAACATTCTCGCTTGGGATTCTAGATCTTGATTTTATCATCCCCAACCACACAGCTCCAGCCCCATAATCCATCCAGAACTGAAAGGGCGAAGTTTGAGGAAGGAAGATTTGCTGGTAACTTCATCCAGGTGTGAGATGGGAAAGCTGGGCCCTGCCCTGCAATTCCCAAGCCACTTTCCGAAAGGGTTTATGGGCAAAAAAGGTAGGGTGTTGCAGAAGTATAAACTGCAGACCCAAAGTGCAGCATTTGTGGGGGGAATGTCCTTGAGACAGAACTGATGGCCGTGAGAGGCAAGGAGAGTGGCCAAACCGATAGTTTGCGGGCGAGGGGGTCCAAGAAGGCAACCGGGGAGGGGAGGAACAAGTTGCACCAGCTTTTGTGATGATTATATTTTAAAATGGCAAGGGGAGGTCACTCACACCGGCCACCATGCAGTAGCACAAAGTCTGCTCCATCCACGCCCACCTCTGGGTGTTGCGATGGGGGCATTTTGTGATGATTTGCTAAAGAGGGTTGGGTAGATATCTCGATATGTTCATTCAGGGGCAAGCAGCCCGTCTTCCCACATCAAGAGAGCTGGTTTGGCACCCCAGAGAGGGGTTGGATGGAGCAGAGGATGGGAGGGGTCTTCAAGTGTTAGAACAAGTTCTATTGCTTTGTCTCACTGCGGCCAAAGTCCCAGGTCACTGCTTCCTGCTGATTTTGCCAGGGGGCACCCATGGCCTCCAAGCCACTTACAAGCATGGGTCAGTAGAAGGAGCCTCGTTTGGCCTGAGACTGAGGCACAAGGAAGCTGGGGGGAAGGCTCACAGAGTGGAGATGTGTGGACTTCTCACATTGTAGGCTCACAGCTTGAAGATGGGTGGACTTCAACTCCC